GGTGATCTGTTGTACATCTTGATATTATAAGAGCAATTAAGTAATTGCTCAATTCAACATCGATAGTCCTTACTTTTTAAAAAAATGTCAAGTTTTTTAATTCGGACATATGGCATTTGATTAGGACTGCAATTCATCAGTCCATAATTTTAACAAAAACTTAATCTTGTAAAATATCTATTTTTGCCCAATTAAATTAAGGGAGTAATTGAGAGACCAATTATATTTGGTAAGATATTAAATAAATAAATAAGGATACATTAGAAAAAAATTAAATGGAGTCTTAAAATTAAAAAAGGCATTTATTTTAGAATAAAAAAATATTTATTTTGAAAACAGATGAAGTGTATAAACGAAAGAGTTTATATTAGAAATGCTATAACATGAAACCAATTCGTCAAGAATACATTATTACTAGTAATTAATAAAAAACTTTAAGTGAAGGGAGGCATTTAATTAAGCAATCTCTACCCTTATTGAATGGAATGAATACAATAACAGAAGAATGATATGTAAATGTTAAATTTAAATCCTCTTCTTATTTACATCTTATAGAAATCAACACAATCTAAATGAAATATAAATATATCTATATTTCCCTTCACAATATCAATATCAATATCAATAATAGGCATTGTGAGGAGATGGATTAACCAAATTCCTGCTCTGTAAGATTACCCCACTGTGTTCTTGTCAAAATGGAATGCTCTTTCGCCAAAGAAGATCAAGATTAACTGATGGAACTGCACCCATATATTGTATTTGCTGAGTCCCACTCCTGGAGATCTCTGACTATTCAAGGGCGGCTAAGGCAATTGCATGGAGTTTTTTCCAATCTTCATCTTGGAAGTGAATGAGCCCAACATGGGAATCAAAACATTCTCTTGCTTCAAAAACCTTGGCGAAAAGGCGGTGATCGGGATCTCGAAGTGATAAAACTGCATATAGGAGGTTCTTCTATGCGGTGAATGAGATCTCTGCAGCTCGAGGCGATGTGGTGAGTGGGTTTACACGCGAGGTGAGAAGTCAATCGAACAATTGGATAGAGCATCGTGGTGTTAAGGCCAGGGATCTCGTTCTACAGTTAAAGAGATTTGTGCGGACTCCGGAGCTGTTGTGGGTTTCTCCTAGCAAGTTTAATCCAGAATAGGAAAAGTCATCTGCTGTTACGGTGTTACTGGTATCCTTGCGAGAGAATTTTCCATTGACTGAATACTGCATGCATAATAAAGAATCATATGTCCTTGTTTATTAAAATTAACTTATTATCATGTAACCTTATCATAACATAATACGCCCAATAATTGACCGGGCTGTTGACTGTTGAGAGACAATCTAAAATC